TAGTAATTCGCTATTAGCTATTATGTACTTCTTAACTTTGTTGTAAATTTTTGTTCCATACGATCCTCGTGAATACCAACGTAAGTTGAAGATGTTAACGTGTTTACCCTAGGAGAAACCACCCTAAGAAAAACAACCCTAGGAAATACAACCCTGGGAAAAACAACCATAGGAGAAACAACCATAAGAAAAAACACATGCAAAAAACAACCCAAAAAAAACAACTCTAAATAAAACAAACACCATAAGAAAAACAATCCTAGGTAACTATGAACCCCCCCAGCAAAAAGACCCTGGTAACAAAGTTGTTTAAGACATGAATTGACGAAAATTTGTATCAGTGGAAAAAATTTCAGTGACAAAAACAGAATTTTATTTTATTTTCTACAGAGTAATGCTATTACAGTAGAAAGAACTGTCAACGACATACATAGCTACAATATTATTGTCACTTCTTGAATAAAGAATAATAATCCAGCAAGCTTCAGCAAACAACTATACCTTCAAGAAAACCATCAACAAAACCCCAACCACGTTTTGCTCGTTTTCTTGCATCGTTTTCCCCACTCTTCCGAGAGTCATCTTTGAATTGAAATTTCACACGAAATTCACACTGTTTTGGTTTACGACCAGCGATACGAGTTTTACCTCCCTCACCATCATTGATGAACGTTTCTTCCAACCTTTGCCCAGGCGTTGTGCCAAAACTCCTTCCCAATACTTCACCTTTAAACAGTCGTCAGTAACTTGGTAATTTATGCTCTTCGATCGTACTATTTTCCCGTTCTCGTTTGTTTTTGTGGTTGTTTCAAGCGTTCTTTTAAAACCAAAACTTGCCAAATTTGCACATTTCAAATATTCTTCCGTTTCATTGAAACTTAGATGGAATTCAGGGACGGAGATACGAATCGCGTCACTTTTATGACTGAAGGCTTCAGAAAATCAATATGATATACAAATGAGAAAGATTGTTACTTTAATTTATTTTAAAACAATAAGTAAATACAAAAATGTCGCAGGTCTGCAAAATATATACCTGATTGTGGCAAGACAACCATTACGGCCAAAAGTGCCCACAAAATAACCAACTTCATTTTATTTTCTTCTTCGTAACCTTATTGTAAGAAACATTTACACTTTCTGATGCCAGCATCTCAAGTCTTGTGCTTTATAACTGTCTGCATTATGTAGATTTCTTGCTGTTTTTTTAATAAATTGAAAGACTTGCTGAAGGAACACGAAATTTTGACATGTTTTACTTGATAGATCGTTTTTAGCAATCTAACTATAGCAAATTACAATATGTTCCCATAGCGACTATCGCGCGATAAGGAAAGGCTGCACTCAGCAATTGATTCCAAATGAGCATCTATAACTTAAAAGAATTGACATTTCTTGATTTTTCATTCATAACTATAGCAAATATTTTAACTAGATTTCTTAAGTAATGATTAAAACTCTAAGTGTTCATACTCTGACGCCGTCGGGTAAATCTCTCAAACGTCACACTGAGCAATTTTTATCTTTGTAAAAGCAAGGGGAGGGGTCTCAATCAATAATAGATTCAATAACGTCACCAGCGAGTTCCCAGCAACAATTCTTTCTCTCGAACGCTGAATTTATCTTTTTGAAATCATTCTTTTATAATAACATTTTCTGCATGTGTGAAAGGAACCATGGCCATGGCCATCAACAACAACTTCACAAGAAAACAGCGAAATGAAGAAAAATCTAGATAATAATTTTGCATTGTTTATGAAGTGACAATTCTTCTTTTGGACATGCGCTGTCTGAAGACTTCTCTTTATAGCAGTGAGTATTGAATAATCACGATGATGAAATGATTTGGTCAATTTTTGTTGCCTTAGAGGCCTGGTTTTCTTCAAGAAATTCACAAACATTTTGTGTTACTTGAAGAACAACAATCTATTACCAGATTTCTTCTTTACCAAAACGCTGGCAGGGAATGGTTGATTGCTTTTCGACACTTACACGTCATACAAAAATTTCTTCTTTCGTTGTTTATAAAGCTTTTGACAGTTACATATTCCTTTTCTGTGAGTTAATGACATGAAAAAAATATATACATTTGTAATGTGAACAGTCTTTAAGAATACTTCTTGATTTTGTTTTCAATCCTTAATTTAATAAATGATGGAAAGGCTAAAGCAAGCAACAAGTAAATATAAACGTTCTTGCACGCTGCAAACTGAGCATGAGTGCCAATTGTAGAATTTAATGAATTGAATCAGAAAGTAAAATATTTAGAGGAGTAAAATCAATATTGACCAGGTCACCCGCTATCCACGAAAAAATAAACCAAAAATCAGAGCTCTGTATATTATTCAACTATTTCCCATGCAGTACTTTGCACCCTGCATGTTGACAACGAGAAGTGAAGAATGCAGAAGAGAACCGGTAGCTCAAAGAGGAGATTGGACAGTTGTCGCTGAAATGAAGGAAAAGCAGCTGCTTTACTTAATAGATGATTGTGATGTTTTGTCGCCGACAACGATTACATAAACAAAAGAAATTATCCCAACATTTGAATGTCGGTCCATAACAGTGAAGATTAAATTGTTATATATATATTTGGGAAAGTCAATATTTGCGTTCTTTAACAAGGTTGTCAGTTTTTTCTTTGAAAATTGGTATACATTAAAACACGATTGAATGAAATCTCGGGACACAGAGTACCCGAGACTTAAAACACACTGTTTTCCTGGGTCTAAATCAATTAATGATAATTAGAATTAGCTGCTTGACACATTAAAATGCTGTCCAAATAAAACCATTGCATCCTGCATGTTAGATCACATTCATCTGATGGAGAAAAGTTTTCTATCTTTATCGGTCTTTCAAAGAAATGTTCTTGGCAATTTTTGCTTGGAAAATCTGGAATGTCTAAGTCTAGAAAGAGCTTTTTTTAAATCTTGTCTCTAAATGTAATTGAAAGTAATATAATGGTTGAATTGGAAGTATTTGTATTCCAGAATTTCAAAGAGATTTGATAATTTCGTTCAACCTCCTGTAAAACTGAGTTTTACCTTTAAGTCAGCAACTATTTGATATCTTCTATACTGTAAATGTCACTGAGGCGCATTTTAAACCTCACATTTTTTTCTCATTTTTTTTGTCTTCAATATATTCGGCTTTTAGCGAATGTAATATTCTTGCAACCTTTTAGTCAATAATTGAATAATTACAATTAATAATTTCTTTAGAAATTGATTGTTTTTTACAGTCGGTGAACATTGAAGTGTTTTACATAGCAGGAGTAAATATTGTACTGTCTACGTTGCTGAAGCTCACCATATGAATGAGACTATTTTTACTTTAGTAATTTTCATAATAATTAAAGATTTACGAGGCAAGATGTGAAGTATTTCATTTCTCCTTCTTCCATAGATCTTAAATAATACATAAAATATCTATATGTTTAAAGATTGGTAATCCAGGCATTATATTATTTAAAAAAGTTTTTCCGAATTTTATGAATTATTTTCTTGAGCCTTCGACTCGTTGCTTCGAGCCTTAATCATAATGAAAAATTTATCTGTTTACAGTTGCTTTTAGCTTGTAGACGTTTAGAGCGTCTAGTTGGATTAGCGTGTGGATTAATGTAATTGGATGCTGCGGAATACGTTGTCAGGTGTATTGGCGTATTGTGAATATGATTTTTACCTGATTTATGTTTTAATTTTGATTGGGGGATTGTTGCATCTCTCACACCCCCCGGGAGCGACGTCCTTGCTTTAAGCGTTGGTTCTTAAACATTCTTTTACCAATAAAAAATAACGAACAAAGTAAGATTACATTGAACTTCATGTAAAGAACATACACCCGAGTACAAATTTTCTTGTTTAGTCTGTAGTATCTATGAAAACAATCGAGTAAACTGGCAGTAATAGTTATAGTTATTATGCGGGGTCAAGGGTTTATCAAAAAACGAAAGCACAAATAAATTAATTACATGATAGATATTCCAAAGACATGATACGTCCATCCAAAGAGGTTTGTTTACTGGTATATGGAAAGATTTGATAACCATATCTTTACACAATTAAGACAACGATATTGACTAAATGTTCTCGTTGACCAAGAAATGTCATGTTGAAGAATATTTGTCAAGCATTTGGTTAGATTTGGCAATAATACAATTTAAAAGAAAGTGAGGCAACGTGGCAGGTTTGTGAACATAAACACTGCATAGACATGCTGTGACATATTGTGCATTTTGAATATGTAAATATTTAAAAATGAAAAGTGATTAATATTCAAATTCTCTTATCAACAGTCTCGTTTGATTCGCATTTCTAAAGAAAGAAGTTTCGTTCAAAATTATACCATGCAACAAAACAATGCTGGTGATAAAAACTTTGCAGGAAATTCTAACTGCCAACCACTCCAAGGGCTAAAAATGATGAACAAAACAATATCAGGCGACTTCAACCGATAAAGCCTACTAACTTGATTTAGCTAATGACCAAACAGTTGGAATACCTTGTTCGAGTAGTGGCGAATGCAAGGCTGTGCTTGGTGGCAACCGTCCTTCAAGACACTCAAGAACAACGCTCTGACTATACTCCTCTTGGTTTGTGGAAGTACGATTATTCAGTCGGTGAATATTTTTTAGTATAATGTTTATGTAATTTATAGATGAAACCGAGCAGCCATACTGTGTTGGAGAGCAGTAAAGGATCATGATGAACTCCACTCGCTTTTCTGACAAGTTTTTTTTATAGACATGCATATATGTACTTTTGGCATTTTAAAGTTGTGTAAAAATAAATACCAAACATATAGCATATTGAAGGCAGCTTCCTTCCTTACCCCTTCCCCTTCCCCTCCTCCCATTCATTCTTGGTACGACTCTTCAAGTGCAAGTTAAAGACCATCGAAATCGAAAATCCCAAACAAAAAACTAAATTTGTTCAGGAAATAAAAAATCTACAAACTTAATTAATTGGCTATATTTAAAGGAAAAAAAGAAACAAATATTTCACAGCAATGTTTTATTTTCTCAAACGACCTAAACACTATTATAACAGTAAAATCTGTTATCTACAATACACATTCATTTTTATGGAACTTTTTGCTACACCAAAATCTTTTTTGGATACAAATGACAGAATAAGAGAAAAACATCTCATTTCAAAGTTAGCGACGAATTTCTACAGTAGAGCTAAACCAACAAAGTCCAACACAACCACCTCTTTTCTTACGCCCTTTGGTAATGCTCTTCTCCTTACCACAGCCGCGTTGAGGATGAATCTCCACACCAAATTCACATTGTTTGGGCTTTTGGCCGGCAATACGTCTTTTAACCTCCTTCTCAGTCTTCTTGAACCATTTCGTCCAACCTTTGGGCAGACGCTCTGCTAAGATTTTTTCCCATTTTCCTGCTTTGGAGCAGTGGTCAATGACTTTGTAGTGGATCGTCTTCTTCACTGTTATTTGACCTTTCTGGTCTATTTCTCTTGTAGTTTGGACTGTTCTTGTGAAACCATGATGTTCCAATTTTGCCTTGTCCAAATGGTCTTTCATTTCCTCGTTGCTGGGATGATATTTGTGATCGAAAATACGAAGCACTTCAGTCTCATCAGTGTAAGCTGTATGAAATCATTATGATAGAAAATAACAATCTTTCTTTGCATTTAGTAATAACAAAAATGTAGCATATCTGCAAAATATATACCTGATTGTGGCAAGACAACCATTACAGCCAAAAGTGCCCACAAAATAACCAACTTCATTTTATTTTCTTCTTCGTAACCTTATTGTAAGAAACATTTACACTTTCTGATGCCAGCATCTCGAGTCTTGTGCTTTATAACTGTCCGCATTATGTAGATTTCTTTGCTATTTTTGTAATAAATTGAAAGACTTGCTGAAGGAACACGAAATTTTAACATGTTTTACTTGATAGATCGTTTTAACAATCTAACTATAGCAAATTACAATATGTTCCCATAGCGACTATCGCGCGATAAGGAAAGGCTGCACTCAGCAATTGATTCCAAATGAGCATCTATAACTTAAAAGAATTGACATTTCTTGATTTTTCATTCATAACTAAAGCAAATATTTTAACTAGAATTCTTAAGTAATGATTAAAACTCTAAGTGTTCATACTCTGACGCCGTCGGGTAAATCTCTCGAACGTGACACTGAGCAATTTTATCTTTGTAAAAGCAAGGGAGGGATCTCAATCAATAATAGATTCAATAACGTCACCAGCGAGTTCCCAGCAACAATTCTTTCTCTCGAACTCTGAAATTATCCTTTGAAATCATTCCGTTATAAAACATTGCCTGCATGTGTGAAAGGAACCATGGCCATCAACAACAACTTCACAAGAAAACAGCGAAATGAGGAAAATCTAGATAATAATTTTGCATTGTTTATGAAGTGACAATTCTCCTTTTAGACATGCGCTGTCTGAAGACTTCTCTTTATAGCAGTGAGTATTGAATAATCACGATGATGAAATGATTTGGTCAATTTTTGTTGCCTTAGAGGCCTGGTTTTCTTCAAGAAATTCACAAAACATTTTGTGTTACTTGAAGAACAACAATCTATTACCAGATTTCTTCTTTACCAAAAACGCTGGCAGGGAATGGTTGATTGCTTTTCGACACTTACACGTCATACAAAAATTTCTTTCTTTCGTTGTTTATAAAGCTTTTGACAGTTACATATTCCTTTTCTGTGAGTTAATGACATGAAAAATATATACATTTGTAATGTGAACAGTCTTTAAGAATACTTCTTGATTTTGTTTTCAATCCTTAATTTAATAAATGATGGAAAGGCTAAAGCAAGCAACAAGTAAATATAAACGTTCTTGCACGCTGCAAACTGAGCATGAGTGCCAATTGTAGGATTTAATGAATTGAGTCAGAAATTGAAATATTTAGAGGAGTAAAATCAATATTGACCAGGTCACCCGTTATCCACGAGAAAATGAACTAAAAATCAGAGCTCTGATTATTATTCAACTATTTCCCATACAGTACTTTGCACCCTGCATGTTGACAACGAGAAGTGAAGAATGCAGAAGAGAACCGGTAGCTCAAAGAGGAGATTGGACAGTTGTCGTTGAAATGAAGGAAAAGCAGCTGGTTTACATAATAGATGATTGTGATGTTTTGTCGCCGACAACTATTACATAAACAAAAGAAATTATCCCAACATTTGAATGTCGGTCCATAACAGTGAAGATTAAATTGTTATATATATCTTTGGGAGAGTCAATACTTGCGTTCTTTAACAAGGTTGTCAGTTTTTTCTTTGAAAATTGGTATACATTAAAACACGATTGAATGAAATCTCGGGACACAGAGTACCCGAGACTTAAAACACACTGTTTTCCTGGGTCTAAATCAGTTAATGATAATTAGAATTAGCTGCTTGACACATTAAAATGCTGTCCAAATAAAACCATTGCATCCTGCATGTTAGATTACATTCATCTGATGGAGAAAAGTTTTTTATCTTTATCGGTCTTTCAAAGAAATGTTCTTGGCAATTTTTGCTTGGAAAATCTGGAATGTCTAAGTCTAGAAAGAGCTTTTTAAATCTTGTCTCTAAATATAATTGAAAGTAATATAATGGTTGAATTGGAAGTATTTGTATTCCAGAATTTCAAAGAGATTTGATAATTTCGTTCAACCTCCTGTAAAACTGAGTTTTACCTTTAAGTCAGCAACTATTTGATATCTTCTATACTGTAAATGTCACTGAGGTGCATTTTAAACCTCACATTTTTTTCTCATTTTTTTTGTCTTCAATATATTCGGCTTTTAGCGAATGTAATATTCTTGCAACCTTTTAGTCAATAATTGAATAATTACAATTAATAATTTCTTTAGAAATTGATTGTTTTTACAGTCGGTGAACATTGAAGTGTTTTACATAGCAGGAGTAAATATTGTACTGTCTACGTTGCTGAAGCTCACCATATGAATGAGACTATTTTTACTTTAGTAATTTTCATAATAATTAAAGATTTACGAGGCAAGATGTGAAGTATTTCATTTCTCCTTCTTCCATAGATCTTAAATAATACATAAAATATCTATATGTTTAAAGATTGGTAATCCAGGCATTATATTATTTAAAAAAGTTTTTCCGAATTTTATGAATTATTTTCTTGAGCCTTCGACTCGTTGCTTCGAGCCTTAATCATAATGAAAAATTTATCTTTTTACAGTTGCTTTTAGCTTGTAGACGTTTAGAGCGTCTAATTGGATTAGCGTGTGGATTAATGTAATTGGATGGTGTGGAATACGTTGTCAGGTGTATTGGCGTATTGTGAATATGATTTTTACCTGATTTATGTTTTAATTTTGATTGGGGGATTGTTGCATCTCTCACACCCCCCGATAGCGACGTCCTTGCTTTAAGCGTTGGTTCTTAAACATTCATTTACCAATAAAAAATAACGAACAAAGTAAGATTACATTGAACTTCATGTAAAGAACATAAACGCGAGTAAAATGTTCTTGTTTAGTCTGTTTTAGCTAGTATCTATGAAGACAATCGATTAAACTGGCAGCAATAGTTATAGTTATTATGCGGGGTTAAGGGTTTATCAAAAAACGAAAGCACAAATAAAATAGTTGTATGATAGATATTCCAAAGACATGATACGTCCATCCAAAGAGGTTTGTTTACTGGTATATGGAAAGATTTGATAACCAGATCTTTCCACAATTAAGACAACGACATTAACTAAATGTTCTCGTTGACCAAGAAATGTCATGTTTGTTAATATTTATCAAGCATTTGTTTAGGTTTGGGATTATGCAAATTGAAAGAAAGTGAGGCGACGTTGCAGGTTTGTGAACATAAACACTGCATAGACATGCTGTGACATATTGTGCATTTTGAATATGTAAATATTTAAAAATGAAAAGTGGTTAATATTCAAATTCTCTCATCAACAGTCTCGTTTGATTCGCATTTCAAAGAAAGAAGTTTCGTTCAAAATCTGACGATGAAACGAAACAATGCTGCTGATAAAAATTTTGCATGAAATTCTAACTGCCAACCTCTCCGAGGCCTGAAAATGATGAACAAAACAATATCAGGCGATTTCAACCGACAAAGCCTACTAGCTGGATTTAGCTAATGACCTAACAGTTGGAATGCCTTGTTCGAGTAGTGGCGAATGCAAAGCTGTGCTTGGTGGCAACCGTCCTTCAAGACACTCTAAAACAACGCTCTGACCATACTCCTCTTGGTTTGTGGAAGTACGATTATTCAGTCGGTGAATATTTTTTAGTATAATGTTTATGTAATTTATAGATGAAACCGAGCAGCCATACTGTGTTGAAGAGAAGTAAAGGATCATGGTGAACTCCACTCGCTTTTCTGACAAGTTTTTTTTATGTGACATGCATATATGTACTTTTGGCATTTTAAAGTTGTGTAAAAATAAGTACCAAACATATAACATATTGAAGGCAGCTTCCTTCCTTACCCCTTCCCCTTCCCCTCCCCCCATTCATTCCTGGTACGACTCTTCAAGTGCATGTTTATTACCATCGAAATCGAAAATCCCAAGCAAAAAACTAAATTCGTTCAAGAAATACAAAATCTAGAAACTTAATTCATTGGCTATATTCAAAGGAAAAAAGAAAACAAATATTTCACAGCAATGTTTTATTTTCTCAAACGACTTACACACTATTATAACAGTAAAATCTGTTATCTACAATACACATTCATTTTCATGGAAATTTTTTTACACCAAAACCTTTTTTTGAGTACAAATGACAAAATAAGGGAAAAACATCTCATTTCAAAGTTAGCGACGAATTTCTACAGTAGAGCTGTACCAACAAATTCCAATACAAAAACCTCTTTTCTTACGCCCATTGGTAATGCTCTTCTCCTTACCACAGCCGCGTTGAGGATGAATCTCCACACCAATTTCACATTGTTTGGTTTTTTTGCCAGCAATACGTCTTTTAACCTCCTTCTCAGTCTTCTTGAACCATTTCGTCCAACCTTTGGGCAGGCGCTCTGCTAAGACTTTTTCCCATTTTCCTACTTTGGAGCAGTGGTCAATGACTTTGTAGTGGATCGTCTTCTTCACTGTTATTTTGCCTTTCTGGTCTATTTTTCTTGTAGTTTCAACTGTTCTTGTGAAACCATGATGTTCCAATTTTGCCTTGTCCAAATGGTCTTTCATTTCCTCGTTGCTGGGATGATATTTGTGATCGAAAATACGAAGCACTTCAGTCTCATCAGTGTAAGCTGTATGAAATCATTATGATAGAAAATAACAATCTTTCTTTGCATTTAGTAATAACAAAAATGTAGCATATCTGCAAAATATATACCTGATTGTGGCAAGACAACCATTACGGCCAAAAGTGCCCACAAAATAACCAACTTCATTTTATTTTCTTCTTCGTAACCTTATTGTAAGAAACATTTACACTTTCTGATGCCAGCATCTCGAGTCTTGTGCTTTATAACTGTCCGCATTATGTAGATTTCTTTGCTATTTTTGTAATAAATTGAAAGACTTGCTGAAGGAACACGAAATTTTAACATGTTTTACTTGATAGATCGTTTTTAACAATCTAACTATAGCAAATTACAATATGTTCCCATAGCGACTATCGCGCGATAAGGAAAGGCTGCACTCAGCAATTGATTCCAAATGAGCATCTATAACTTAAAAGAATTGACATTTCTTGATTTTTCATTCATAACTAAAGCAAATATTTTAACTAGAATTCTTAAGTAATGATTAAAACTCTAAGTGTTCATACTCTGACGCCGTCGGGTAAATCTCTCGAACGTGACACTGAGCAATTTTTATCTTTGTAAAAGCAAGGGGAGGGATCTCAATCAATAATAGATTCAATAACGTCACCAGCGAGTTCCCAGCAACAATTCTTTCTCTCGAACTCTGAAACTATCTTTTGAAAATCATTCCGTTATAAAAACATTGCTTGCATGTGTGAAAGGAACCATGGCCATTAACAACAACTTCACATGAAAACAGCGAAATGAGGAAAAATCTAGATAATATTTTTCCTTTGTTTATGAACTTACAATTCTTCTTTTAGACATGCGCTGTCTGAAGACTTCTCTTTATAGCAGTGAGTATTGAATAATCACGATGATGAAATGATTTGGTCAATTTTTGTTGCCTTAGAGGCCTGGTTTTCTTCAAGAAATTCACAAAACATTTTGTGTTACTTGAAGAACAACAATCTATTACCAGATTTCTTCTTTACCAAAACGCTGGCAGGGAATGGTTGATTGCTTTTCGACACTTACACGTCATACAAAATTTCTTTCTTTCGTTGTTTATAAAGCTTTTGACAGTTACATATTCCTTTTCTGTGAGTTAATGACATGAAAAAATATATACATTTGTAATGTGAACAGTCTTTAAGAATACTTCTTGATTTTGTTTTCAATCCTTAATTTAATAAATGATGGAAAGGCTAAAGCAAGCAACAAGTAAATATAAACGTTCTTGCACGCTGCAAACTGAGCATGAGTGCCAATTGTAGGATTTAATGAATTGAGTCAGAAATTGAAATATTTAGAGGAGTAAAATCAATATTGACCAGGTCACCCGCTATCCACGAGAAAATGAACTAAAAATCAGAGCTCTGATTATTATTCAACTATTTCCCATACAGTACTTTGCACCCTGCATGTTGACAACGAGAAGTGAAGAATGCAGAAGAGAACCGGTAGCTCAAAGAGGAGATTGGACAGTTGTCGTTGAAATGAAGGAAAAGCAGCTGGTTTACATAATAGATGATTGTGATGTTTTGTCGCCGACAACTATTACATAAACAAAAGAAATTATCCCAACATTTGAATGTCGGTCCATAACAGTGAAGATTAAATTGTTATATATATCTTTGGGAGAGTCAATACTTGCGTTCTTTAACAAGGTTGTCAGTTTTTTCTTTGAAAATTGGTATACATTAAAACACGATTGAATGAAATCTCGGGACACAGAGTACCCGAGACTTAAAACACACTGTTTTCCTGGGTCTAAATCAGTTAATGATAATTAGAATTAGCTGCTTGACACATTAAAATGCTGTCCAAATAAAACCATTGCATCCTGCATGTTAGATTACATTCATCTGATGGAGAAAAGTTTTTTATCTTTATCGGTCTTTCAAAGAAATGTTCTTGGCAATTTTTGCTTGGAAAATCTGGAATGTCTAAGTCTAGAAAGAGCTTTTTAAATCTTGTCTCTAAATATAATTGAAAGTAATATAATGGTTGAATTGGAAGTATTTGTATTCCAGAATTTCAAAGAGATTTGATAATTTCGTTCAACCTCCTGTAAAACTGAGTTTTACCTTTAAGTCAGCAACTATTTGATATCTTCTATACTGTAAATGTCACTGAGGTGCATTTTAAACCTCACATTTTTTTCTCATTTTTTTTGTCTTCAATATATTCGGCTTTTAGCGAATGTAATATTCTTGCAACCTTTTAGTCAATAATTGAATAATTACAATTAATAATTTCTTTAGAAATTGATTGTTTTTACAGTCGGTGAACATTGAAGTGTTTTACATAGCAGGAGTAAATATTGTACTGTCTACGTTGCTGAAGCTCACCATATGAATGAGACTATTTTTACTTTAGTAATTTTCATAATAATTAAAGATTTACGAGGCAAGATGTGAAGTATTTCATTTCTCCTTCTTCCATAGATCTTAAATAATACATAAAATATCTATATGTTTAAAGATTGGTAATCCAGGCATTATATTATTTAAAAAAGTTTTTCCGAATTTTATGAATTATTTTCTTGAGCCTTCGACTCGTTGCTTCGAGCCTTAATCATAATGAAAAATTTATCTGTTTACAGTTGCTTTTAGCTTGTAGACGTTTAGAGCGTCTAGTTGGATTAGCGTGTGGATTAATGTAATTGGATGGTGCGGAATACGTTGTAAGGTGTATTGGCGTATTGTGAATATGATTTTTACCTGATTTATGTTTTAATTTTGATTGGGGGATTGTTGCATCTCTCACACCCCCCGGGAGCGACGTCCTTGCTTTAAGCGTTGGTTCTTAAACATTCTTTTACCAATAAAAAATAACGAACAAAGTAAGATTACATTGAACTTCATGTAAAGAACATAAACGCGAGTAAAAATGTTCTTGTTTAGTCTGTTTTAGCTAGTATCTATGAAGACAATCGATTAAACTGGCAGCAATAGTTATAGTTATTATGCGGGGTTAAGGGTTTATCAAAAAACGAAAGCACAAATAAAATAGTTGTATGATAGATATTCCAAAGACATGATACGTCCATCCAAAGAGGTTTGTTTACTGGTATATGGAAAGATTTGATAACCAGATCTTTCCACAATTAAGACAACGACATTAACTAAATGTTCTCGTTGACCAAGAAATGTCATGTTTGTTAATATTTATCAAGCATTTGTTTAGGTTTGGGATTATGCAAATTGAAAGAAAGTGAGGCGACGTTGCAGGTTTGTGAACATAAACACTGCATAGACATGCTGTGACATATTGTGCATTTTGAATATGTAAATATTTAAAATGAAAAGTGGTTAATATTCAAATTCTCTCATCAACAGTCTCGTTTGATTCGCATTTCAAAGAAAGAAGTTTCGTTCAAAATCTGACGATGAAACGAAACAATGCTGCTGATAAAAATTTTGCATGAAATTCTAACTGCCAACCTCTCCGAGGCCTGAAAATGATGAACAAAACAATATCAGGCGATTTCAACCGACAAAGCCTACTAGCTGGATTTAGCTAATGACCTAACAGTTGGAATGCCTTGTTCGAGTAGTGGCGAATGCAAAGCTGTGCTTGGTGGCAACCGTCCTTCAAGACACTCTAAAACAACGCTCTGACCATACTCCTCTTGGTTTGTGGAAGTACGATTATTCAGTCGGTGAATATTTTTTAGTATAATGTTTATGTAATTTATAGATGAAACCGAGCAGCCATACTGTGTTGAAGAGAAGTAAAGGATCATGGTGAACTCCACTCGCTTTTCTGACAAGTTTTTTATGTGACATGCATATATGTACTTTTGGCATTTTAAAGTTGTGTAAAATAAGTACCAAACATATAACATATTGAAGGCAGCTTCCTTCCTTACCCCTTCCCTTCCCTCCCCATTCATTCCTGGTACGACTCTTCAAGTGCATGTTTATTACCATCGAAATCGAAAATCCCAAACAAAAACTAAATTCGTTCAAGAAATACAAAATCTAGAAACTTAATTCATTGGCTATATTCAAAGGAAAAAAGAAACAAATATTTCACAGCAATGTTTTATTTTCTCAAACGACTTAAACACTATTATAACAGTAAAATCTGTTATCTACAATACACATTCATTTTCATGGAAATTTTTACACCAAAACCTTTTTGAGTACAAATGACAAAATAAGAGAAAACATCTCATTTCAAAGTTAGCGACGAATTTCTACAGTAGAGCTAAACCAACAAATCCAATACAAAACCTCTTTTCTTACGCCCATTGGTAATGCTCTTCTCCTTACCACAGCCGCGTTGAGGATGAATCTCCACACCAATTTCACATTGTTTGGTTTTTTTGCCAGCAATACGTCTTTTAACCTCCTTCTCAGTCTTCTTGAACCATTTCGTCCAACCTTTGGGCAGGCGCTCTGCTAAGACTTTTTCCCATTTTCCTACTTTGGAGCAGTGGTCAATGACTTTGTAGTGGATCGTCTTCTTCACTGTTATTTTGCCTTTCTGGTCTATTTTTCTTGTAGTTTCAACTGTTCTTGTGAAACCATGATGTTCCAATTTTGCCTTGTCCAAATGGTCTTTCATTTCCTCGTTGCTGGGATGATATTTGTGATCGAAAATACGAAGCACTTCAGTCTCATCAGTGTAAGCTGTATGAAATCATTATGATAGAAAATAACAATCTTTCTTTGCATTTAGTAATAACAAAATGTAGCATATCTGCAAAATATATACCTGATTGTGGCAAGACAACCATTACGGCCAAAAGTGCCCACAAAATAACCAACTTCATTTTATTTTCTTCTTCGTAACCTTATTGTAAGAAACATTTACACTTTCTGATGCCAGCATCTCGAGTCTTGTGCTTTATAACTGTCCGCATTATGTAGATTTCTTTGCTATTTTTGTAATAAATTGAAAGACTTGCTGAAGGAACACGAAATTTTAACATGTTTTACTTGATAGATCGTTTTAACAATCTAACTATAGCAAATTACAATATGTTCCCATAGCGACTATCGCGCGATAAGGAAAGGCTGCACTCAGCAATTGATTCCAAATGAGCATCTATAACTTAAAAGAATTGACATTTCTTGATTTTTCATTCATAACTAAAGCAAATATTTTAACTAGAATTCTTAAGTAATGATTAAAACTCTAAGTGTTCATACTCTGACGCCGTCGGGTAAATCTCTCGAACGTGACACTGAGCAATTTTTATCTTTGTAAAAGCAAGGGGAGGGATCTCAATCAATAATAGATTCAATAACGTCACCAGCGAGTTCCCAGCAACAATTCTTTCTCTCGAACTCTGAAATTATCCTTTTGAAATCATTCCGTTATAAAAACATTGCCTGCATGTGTGAAAGGAACCATGGCCATCAACAACAACTTCACAAGAAAACA